GTTTATATTTCAACTTTTGAGATCCCCGGTACGATGCTCAGTTTGGTCAATGAAGTCCCATCACCGCGGAAACGATACGAAGTTGTGACATTGAAATAATACTTCCTAGCGGTCCAGTTCGCTGCTCTTTGGAAGACTAAAATCATCATACAGCTGAGTTGATTCCAAGATGATAGTCTTGTCAATTGCAGCTTCGTGGTTATGTACTGTTGCCAAATTGTTGCTCATCCACGAATAATTCAATCCGTACAATTTCACTATCCCTGATCATTGCTGCTCCCTCCTTCCATCTATCCATCCATCAGATGCTCGAGACTACTTTACGACTATTGTTCGACCAATTCTCGTTGCCGGCATCCATAAGCGTACCGGATTTTGCACAATCCGCGCTTTCCGGTAAGCCACGAGGAGGAACTCCTCACATTCTGATTCCCTATATTTGTGTTATTTTAATCAATTATCAAACAATGACCGTTTCATTTTTTTCCACGATATTCTGATAAAGTTCCCGTGTTTCATGCTCAGTGCAAATGAACCGTTCATTTTGCTATCACTTCTGCTTTCCAAACCGACCGTTCTCACACCGAGTTGGACGCTCTCTCTCTCTACCCTCACAAGTCTGTAAGCGATTTTGCGAAGTTCTTGAAGATTGACTGGTACTGTTTGTGAAAGTGTTTGAATGACGTTTTGTAACACACTTGGGTTTCCCACTGCGTTCATACAGACTTACAAGTGCAGCATTCAGTGTCTACATTTAACAGTTAGTGACTTGCGAGTGGGATAGTTGATTTGGACTTACCATCCTTCAGCTTTCACCTCCATGCATAGTCCTCGGTTTTTCCAATCAACCATACTATACTCGAGTTTCGCTCTGATTAGAGCTCCTCAAACGTGACTAGGCAATTCGGTTTAGCCTTGTATCACGATTCTTGGTCCAATGGTAAATATATTCCGGTTTAAGACCAAATCATTGCCATCTAATATGTGCTCTCTTGATTAGCATTTTGTTTCGTCGGCTCTCATTCGCGACATTCACAGGTCAACCAGTGATGAATCATCTTATGCGTACCGCGGAGACTCGAGTTCACCAGCTGGTTCGAACGTACGCACTGGGATTGATAAACGGCGATATTCCGTTCAGCGATTGCATCCTGTCTCGGCCGTACTGGGGGCAAGCATCCTATCAACCCGGTGCATTTGCTCCAGCTCTGCAGGTGGCCAGGTCAGTTCACTCGAAGCCTAACTCAACAGTACATATATTTTCGTCCGTATTGTGCGAAACACCAAACGGTGGTTATTTCATTCCACTGTCCCCCCCCGCGAAGGGTATATCTGTAACGAAAGTTCTTTTTATGGGGTAATCGAAAAAGAGCACTGGGCTGTTATGTTTTGTCTGACTTACTACTTATGAGTTGTCATTTCGCCTGTGTACCGAGCATTACGAACTATTTCCGTTGTGACTGAAGATTATTTCGAAACGACGAAAAACGTGGGCTCCGCAGAAATGACCCCCCGCTACCCAGAAAACAAATAAGTTTAAAGTGCGTGTGAAAATGGGAATAGGTAAACCGAATCAGATGATCGCAGGTTGTCGCTAACCGTTCGCGGCTGTTGGTTGTTTACCATAGAAAACGGTGGCTAGCCGCCTGTCAGTAGAAAATCTCCGCTAAATGTGCCATCTAATGGTTCGTGCATTTCTATCGGTTCCTTCATAGTATTGTGTTGCGCGCTTCTCAGTCCAGTCAATGTGTAATGCAAGTCACGATTGAATACTCGGGTCGGTGAATCACTGGCAGGTCATCTAAGGAAGTTGGCTAAAATCCCTGATTCCAGAGTAACCAAGAAGAGGCGTACGTACAACAAACATTCCTGGTCATGACGGATGAAATGTGTCATCCGGTTCAATACCGCACCTAACCTATCGGGACCTTATGTGGTTCGCCACTCCAAGTCCCGGGGCTTAGGTTGCCGGTTTCCACCACTGTGCAGCAGGTCTGTGGGGTTCGCCCCCTCTGCTGTTCCTCACACTTAGGTATGTAATAAATATAAATAATCGTAACGAAATGCTCATCTCTGGTAGTACTATATGTTATCGGTTCCTGAGCATTACGAATCGTGTGCGTAGCCGGTTCGTTTGCATATGAACGGTTAGCATATCATAGTTCGCTCTAGTCGCCCTTTTTCCAATTCGATCGAGTGAGATATTATTTATCACATCTGAAAAATCCCAATAGTTCCCTCGCTGCAGACCTACTGATTCCATGGGATTAGTGATCGGCAAAGTAGCGGGCAATGTGTGAAAACCACTGTCAGTTGGGGGCTTCTGCCTAGTTGATCGTCTCATTCCTGTTTTGGACGAGGTCAAATATGTTAGGTGTCCACTGCCGCAACCAGTAAGGTGCGTATGTGGTTCTTAAGATTCTTTTTATTTGGTTTAAAACCAGAGATTTTAGCCAACTCTCCTAGAATGTTTTGCCTACTCGGACATTGGGCTATTTCACAAGGTGCCTCGGCAATACTGACGCTTAGAGAGACTCTTTTATGAAGTCCTAATCCGTCCTCTGTTCCACACCTAAATTTATGGCGTATACAATGATACCTTACTTAATGATTTTATTATTGGTGCCAGTGCCCCCGGTCGGATTCCGGATGCGACGGTCGTCAAACGGTTTAAGCCACGTGCTCCAATCCCGTCACAGCCATCCGAGTTTGCTTTTTCATGTCTAATGTTCGCTTCCGGTGAAAATTTCGCTAAATAATTGCTTGCTCAATAAAAGGTTGCTAAAATCCCAATTATTCATTACAATCATGCTGCTTTGTAGACGCCTAATCGCTAACGACCCTCGAGCTGAACCGGCTGTTGGTGAACGTGTTGTCTATTACGTGGCTCCGGGCAGACCAGATCAGACACTGATCTCGTGTCTTCGTGCTCTGTCGGAACTGTGTCCACCCGCGTGGTCTGGTCCGGGTCAGGAACCACGTCGCACGCTACCGCCACGTTTAAATATTGCCTAC